CAGAATGCTCCTTGGAAGCCAGGATGCCCAAACTTCGTCTCTCATACTTCTGACATATTATCAGGAGGGCCCAGTCCCTGGAGAAGGATATCATGTTTGGTAAAGTGGAGGGCAGGAGAAAAATGGAAAGACCCCCAGTGAGATGGACTGGCACAGAAGCAGCAATGGGCTCAGCAATGATTGTGAGGTTGGCCCAGGACCAGGCAGTGTTTCGTCCTGTTGTGAATAGGGTTGCTGTGAGTTGGTGTCGACTCAATGCCACCTAACAGCAACAGTTTGATCCACACAGCAACTCTTTAACAGGTGAAGAAACTGAGGCACAATAAGGTTAAGTGATATCCTCATGGGCATTCTGTGTTAAGTGGTAGAGATGAGAGTTAATTTAGGCACTCTAGCTCTAGCATCCTTGTTCTTAACCATAATGCTATACAGTCTCTCTCTTGCTTCCTCATGCACACCCCTAAAAAAGAGGTAATCAGGAGGCGGGGCTTAATGATGGATTAGGAAGAAGTGCAGTGCAAACCTCCTCCAGTAGTAGCACAGAATAGCAAGCGAAGCAGATTTGGGGGATGGTACCAGAACTCTGAACTACATAAAAAGGAATATTTAGAAAGTATGAAGGTTTACAGCCTGTGGAATTTGTAGCGGAAGCAAGAAAACTGGTATTTTCAAACCATCAGACCCAGTAGCTCCCAGAGCAGCCATCTAGGGCGTGACGGAGTAGGGGAAGGATCAAAGCAGTGATTCCCACCACAGATGTCTGACTCATCCTCAGAGATAAAGGTGTGGACATTCCTTTTTTCTTTTTTTTCCCCTCTGTTCATTGGTCTCTTGCTGTCTGCACATCTCCATTCTGGTGACTAGAGGGGGTGCCTGAGCAAGTGGACACCTCCCCACTCCTGGAGGGTTCTACTACGCATGTGGTCAGATCTGCTCAGCAGAATCTAACAAGGGGAAAGGCTCTGCTTAAAACCAAATGGCAGCACAAAATGGATACAGCCGACCCTGATCTGTTAATCACTAGAAGAAAGACCTGAATGGGTGTTGTGGAGTAGTAGAGAGACAGACTAAAAAGGAAACAGGCCAAAAATGAAATCCTGAGTTACGTCATAAGGACCAACAATGACATCTTGAAATTTCTCAGGTGGCCTTGAAGGCAAGAAACAGAGAGAGATGTTAAAGTCATAATCATATTTTGCTATAGATTTTTTTTTTCTTTTCTCTTTTCTGTGATTATAGACTATCGTATCCAATTTGGTATTTTTGCTGTTGCTGTTTTGTTTTTTGGTACCCTTTTTCCTTTAGGAGACTCTCTCATGACTACATTACAGCAATTGCAGTTATATAGTCAAGCTGTAATCACACCCTATAAAATCCCACCATCCAGGCAAGAGCCAATACCAGCTTCCATACACCAGGTCAGCAGCCAACACCTGTGACAGTTACTCTGAGTTAAGTAATAAGAAGAGTGAAAAGGGAAGCTCATTTTCCTGATCACATATACCTGGAGGCAATCAGAAAGTATAATAAAACATCAACATACATTCATCTACTTATTGAGGTCACAGCTAACTATTGAAGATGCCCAAGAAACAGCTTACCGTATTGGCCCATATACAGAAACAAGATAGAATGGCTGGGGCAGATGAGCAGGAGATCAATCTAGACATCATATTGGAAGGAGGGCAGTCATTTGAAATGCCTGAGAAGGAATTCAGGAAAATGATACTGAGATGTATCCAAACACTCCACAGAAGGTTTGAAAAAAATAAAGAAGAAGTCAAGAAAGCTCTACAGGAACAATAAAATAAGATAGATATAGCATTGGAAACAATATAAAACCTGAAACAAAGAGGTCCAAACAATTAATAATAAAATATCAGAAATGGACACTATACTGAAATGGCAAAGGGGTAGAACTGAAGAGATGGAAGCTGGAACCAGCGAGCTGGAAGACAAATCTCTCAATACTGCTAAGATAGAAGAACAAGCAGAAAAAAGGATAAAAAAATTTGAAGAAGGTCTAAGATTCATGTTGGACAACATGAAGAGGAAAAACAAGAATTACTGGCATTTTGGAACAGGAAGAATCACACAATTCCACAGAGAAGACATTTGGAGAGCTGCTGGAAGAAAACTTCCCTAACATTCTGAAAAACGATAAGATAAGAATTTTAGAAGCTGAATGAACCCCAGGAAAGCTATACAACAAAAGAAAATCACCAAGACATATAATAATCAAGCTCTCCAAAATAAAAAATACGAACAGAATCCTAAAAGCAGCTAGGGAAAAGAGAAGTGTTACATACAGAGGCAAGCAAATCAGATTAAGCTCTGATCTCTCAGCAGAAACCATGCAGGCAATAAGGCAATGGGAGATATATATATATATTCCTGAAAGAAAAAAAAAACCAGCCAACCAAGAATTGTCTGCCCAGCAAAGCTGTCAATCCAATACAAAGGTATAAACAAAACATTCCAGGATAAACAAAGGGGTAATCAGAATGTTTCAAAGTGTCTGAATACAAATGTGCCTCCCTCATTATGTAATCAGTTAGTTCCCTAAGGTTAAGGAGCATGTGCTACACAACTCCATATTCTTAGTACCTACCTAGTACAGTGAAGGAGCTCTGGTAGTCTAGTGGTTACGAATCGGGCTGGTAATCTCACAGTCAGCAGTTCGAAACTACCAGCTGTTCCACAGGAGAAAGATGAGGCTTTCTACTCCCGTGAAGATTTACAGCCTCGGAAACCCTGTACAGGGTCACTATGAGTTGGAACAGACTCCACAGCACATAACAACAACAACAACAAGCACAGTGCTGGAGTCCTGGTGTAGCACTGAGGGTTAATGTGCTGGACTGCAAGATCAGTTTGAACTGCATGGTCAGTGGTTCAAGCTCACCAGCCGCTCTTCAGAAACCCTATACAGGGTTGCTATTGAGTCGGAACTGACTCCATGGCACTTAACAACAACAGTATGGTGGTGGTGGTGGTGGTGTGCCATCGAGTCAGTTCCGACTCTGACTCAGTGACTTTTCATAGGGTTTTTGAGGCTGTAAATCTTTAGAAGAGCAGAAAATCTCATCTTTCTTCTGTGGAACAGCTGACAGTTTCAAACTGCTGACCTTGAGGTTAGCAGTCCAACTTGTAACCACTCTGTTACCAGAGCACCTAGCATAGGATGAGGGGAAAAAAGTGTAGGTGTTTTGTTTCATCATTCTAAATGTTTGGTGAACAAGAAGTCTTAGGAATATACCACTCTCCATACCAATGTAAGCATGCAGTTCTGGTGCCCCAAGTCCCAAAGTCTATAACCAGCTACAACACCAGATTTCTATGCCATGCCTGAATGCAAAGATTGAAAAAAATATATACTACCAAACTAACTGCAGGCAAGCAGTGTAAAGAAAGATAAGATTTCTGACTTAATATTAAAAAGACAGAATATGTTGTGTAATTTTCTTTCTCTTCTTGTTTTTCTCCCATTCAATCTATCCTCTGAGACAGCAGTTCTTAACTAAAGAGTGATTTTGCCATTGAGGGGACATATAGGAATGTCTGGAGACAGTTTCGATTGTTACAAGTAAAGCAAGAGGAGGGTATGTTTCTAATAGCATCTAGTGAATAGAGGCCAGAGATACTGCTAACCATCCTACAATGCCTGAGACAGCTTACTCAACCCCAGCAACTTCGAACAGAATTATCTGGTCTAAGCTGTCAAGAGTGCTGAGGCTCAGACACCCTGGTCTAGGTCACTATGGTATTGGGAGAACAGTTTACTTACAAAACTTTCAAAGAACAGAACAAAACTGCTGGGGTGGGGGGGATGTAGGGGGCGGCCTTACAATTGGAATCCCCAGACTACAGCCTCCTACTTTCTGGCCACTTAAGGACAACCCCTGGGTTACTAAGGTGAATTGTTGTTGCTGTTAAATGCCACTGAGTCAGTTCTGACTCACAGCAACACTGTATAGGGTTGTTTCTAAGGAGCAGCTGGTGAGATTGAGCTGGTGACCTTGTAGTTAGCAGTTCAGTGCTTACCCTACAGTACCACACCAGGACTTCCCAGGGTGGATGCCAGTTCAAACAAAGAATTCTAACATTTCTCATGTTCCATCCCATATACCCTCTGAAAAGTCAAATCAGGTACTAACCCAGCTGTGCCCAGAGTGGATTATATGGATGTGTTTTAGCCAGCATGTTCACTGACTGAGAGGTGCGCTTCTCTGAGAAGGCTTTAATGGGAGGGTGATCAACAGGCATGACAGTCGGTACCCAGGCCAGGTGGTAGGTTAACACTGCAGTCAGTAAAGCAGCAAAAAACCTTCGAGAAAGAAAACAAAACAGCATCAGATGAGTCAACACAGGATGAGGCATATCGTACACCGCACATATACTACCCATGGAATTTGCATGCACTCAAACCCCAGTCTCCAGAGAGTTGAAGCTTACTGGTTTTTGTTGATCTGTTCTATCAGAAAAGTAAACTCCTTCAGAAATCGCTGGCAAAGCTGGTTTTTTTCCAAAGTGCTAGACATCATGGTAAGCCATATGGGTTCTGCTATCCTTGGAACAGAATATAAATTCCAGATAGTCCCTCTGTAGAAGAGAAGGTTTAGACAAAAATTCCACAATTATTATTTTGGATGACCTTTGTATAAAAGAATAAAGAAGACAACAAAAATTTCAATTTGTGTACTTTCTAATGCAGGCAGCATAAAATAAGGGTCTGTAAACCATGGCCCACAAGACAAATCTGCCTGCTACCTATTTTACAAATAAGCTTTATTGGAGTAAGGGCATAATCACTCAGACACATATTATCTCTGGCTGCTTTCTCATCACAATGCCAAAGGTGTGTAGTTGCAGCAGACACCTGAAAACCTGCAAAGTTTAAAAATGTTCACCACCTGGCTCGTTACAAAAAAGTATGTAACCCCTGATGTAAAATATTCATTTTAAAAACACTTTCTTTTTCAATACCTTGCATCCGATTCTGAACCCAGTTTTACAGTGAGAACATAAAAGGAGAAAGTCTAAACTGAAATGTAACCAAAGGATACTTTATTCTTCTAATTCCTGGTTACTGCTTTAGTTCTCTGAGCCTAAGCACCCTATTCATTTTAGATGAATACACAAGCTTTAGCTATTCTTAACTACATCATATACTTAGTTTTCATATGGACTTGCAGAATCAAATTATTAGAGCTGTAAGCAATCAGAGAAACTGAGCAGACCAGTTCTATCATTTTGCAGATTAAGAAACTGAGGCCTAGAGAGATTAAGTTACTTGAGCAAGACATATTTAATGCCAAGGTCAGGATAAGAATACAGGTCACCCAGTACCTGGCACAGAGAGCTCTACTCCAAGCTACATTACTCATGAGCATTTTTCCAAAGAGCATACTGACTTGGCTTAGGATCACCACTGGGTATGAGGCCACTAAATCAAGTTAGATGAGACATATTCTAATTTGATATTTTAAATATGTGCATGAAAAAGCTGAGACATAATAGAATTCCACCTTAGCAAAATACAAAGCATTTGCAGATAGCAATGGCAAATTGTGGTTATGTGGAACTGGTACACATTTACTACAAGTTGTTGTTGTTGTT